GGTCGCTGGGCTGCAGCTGTGACCAGGCCCGGGCCCCGGCCCGCCCCTGAGGCGTCAGCGGAGTGGCTCAGCCGACAGGCCGCGCTTCTGCCAGCGCGCGGGAGCCAGTGAAGCTTAATGCTGAAAGTTTTGGGTGCTCACGGGTTTAAACGCTCTTCTGAGGATTTTGGGCACAATCTAACCGCTTAAGCTCTCTCTCCTCTTTTCCTGTTCTTTATGCGGTAGACTTCCTACGCCATGATTTTACACCGTGATCACGGGAGGGTGAGGAGTATGCGCTGCCACCGGGGACATCTCTCGCACGCCGAAGCATCATTCCGGATCAGTTTTTCTTGGCCCGATGGGTGCAAGTTCACAGTGGATTCCATCTCTGGATTTTAAAGAACGCCTCCTGCAATTCCGTCGCCCTGCAAATCCCCACCTCGATGTCCTACAACTGTAGGAGTGAAGAGGAAGGACAGCACTTTTCAGGTGGGAGGGAACATCGTAATTCCAAGGAAGATCTGTATCGTAGCTTCCTTGCTAGTATGTGTCACGCGCTAGCTGCTGTCAAAGCTGGGTTCTTCTGTGGCGAGACGTACAACTGTAGCAAATGTATTACAGCTGGTGTTTTGGCAGCTAACATTTGAAAGAAAACCGATAAAACGTGTTTTTACCTGGTGCGGATGGCACACGCTGCGATTTCGGTAGTGCGATGTTCTTGCTACGCTGGCTTGTGGCCACCAGATGTCACGCGGTGGCCGCTGCTGCTGTCTTACGGAATTCAAGAACAAACTACAGTTACTACTGACTTCTTGTGGTTTTTACCCAAAGACTGGCATTTTAATGAATTTGTACGTTGCTGATTCAACCGTATGATTTGGAGAGTTTTAGTATTTTTTCAGTCATCTGAAAGATTAGAGAAGTATGAAGAGCTTATTTTATTTTTTCCAGTTTAAATAAGCTTGTCATGATCACCTCTTTTTGATAAAACATAATATTCTGAACACAAGCCCTCTTATAAATTACTAGAAAAAAATAACTTTTTTTGTTAATGCTCTATGAGCAAAAAGTGTAGCTGTGGCACTTCTGTGCTTTGGGACATACGCAGTGAAACTTTCCCTATCTGCTCTCCAAGGGTTTTTGTGACACATTAATTCAACAAACAGGTAAACTGGTGTAAACCCGGAATAAACTTCATATTTGGTATGGTCTACCCCAAAGCAGAGGGGAAGACAGCACATAGCACATGCTATATTGCAAGGGCTTTAGGCTCTCACGTGACCAGTTCCCTTACGCTCCTAAACATAGGCAACTTACACTTGCTTTGGGCGCACGTACCGGGCGGCACCTCTAAAGGGCATGCTAAGGCTGAGATGATGGAAGGGGAGGGGTTCCTCCAGAAGTATTTATTCCCTGTGCACTCGCAACAGTTTAACTAGTGTGGATGGTGTGTGAATGACTGTCTTGCAGACCTGGAGTGGCAGAAACTTCTGGATGCAGAAGGACACTTCCATGGAGACCTGTGCAGAACTGATGCCACAATTACAAAGGCATCCAGCCCAGAAGCACTGGTCATTGCTACAAGCTTCTCTATGGATTTCTGCAAGAAACCCCCTTAATGCTGTCGCAGGTCCGTTGAAACTGGTCTGATGAGGGTGCATCGACTAGTGGAGCTTCTGTGAGGTGCCAGCAGCACTGCAAAAGAAAAAAAGTAGTTTGCCCTGGTTACAAGATTTACAAACTTTCAGAAAGCTTTGCACATACGGATTTCCCTACAGGAAATCAAGGAGAACCACGTTTATTCTTTGCCCTTTCCCCCTATGAGTTCCTCAGAGTTCTTCTATAGGAAAGGGTTGTTTCAGTAGTGCTGAAGGATTTGACTGATCATTGTAGCAGCATCACCAAAGATAATGCCAGCTTGTATTGAAAAGAAAATGGCCCAGAAACATCCACTGGCACAACTGCTCCCACTCATTTTTTTCTCGTGAGCAGGAAGAAGTCTGCCAGCACTGCTGTTAGCAGTAATACTGATAGTGTGTGCATACTGAGGATGCGACCCATTCTTGACGCTGCCTGTGCTTACCTCCTGAGGTCTTACTTAACTAACTTACTGCTACAGCTCTTGAAGCGTACCATTGGCCAGCTAGACGGTGTAATCAACGTTCTGTTGATTACTAATGACAACTACCAAACAGATTAAACATTTACTTTTGCATTATTCTCTCATGTATAGTATAAGGAACATAGGCGCCTGAGTCAGGCATATGGATTCCACTCCATAGGCTGAAAATTGAACACCATCAAGTGCCCAAGTCTTTTGCTGGATCTAGATACAAGATGCTAAGTAGAGAATAAAACACAGCAAGATATAAAGTGAGATAACTTGCTATTTAGAATATCTTCCTGTTTAAACATCCGAGCAAACTACCGATGTAGTTGCCAGACACAGATGCAGCAAGATACGTTGTAAAGTCTGGGTGAGATTATAAAGACAATAGTTCTATAGGCAAATGAGGCTCTGCTACTGAGATGAACTTGGTTGTAGATAAATACATGAGATATAATGGAACTACTGAACAAATAAAGTAAACCTGAAGTGAATGCCAAGTTTGCTATTAATATGACTATAAATAATGAATCTGAATCCAAACATAAAAAACAATTGCTAGGATGGAATGTCAAAACAGATACAATAAAAAAGGAATTGCCCCCTTTGGCATATTGTTTTCCACATTGTTATCTAATGCTTCAAGTTCCATCATCACTCGGCAGAATGGACCAGTCTAAACTGGAAGGGGAAGAGCTCAACAAACATACTTCCAATTCCAAAGATCCGCAAGCAGTATTCCCCCATTTTAAATGTCATCATCAGACAGCACACAGTGAGTCATTCTTAATGGCACCTGAATCAAAACACCTGTTAGTGAGTACATATGGAATGTGAAGGTGCTTGTAAAGAACAAGATTATAATTAAAGATGGATTAATTCTAACAGAAATAAGAGAAATAGAACAGATGGTTTACATATTTGTGGGCAGTTATGTTTTTGTGTAATGGTAGTGGAGATGAAGATTTGTAAACAGAATGACTGTATAATGTAGGTTGGAAGGGACCTTTGGAGTCCTTTCCTGACCTCTAGGCCAACACCCCTTCTCAAAGCAGGAATAGCTACAAAGTTAGATCATGCTGGTGAAGGCAAATAATGCCAACATTTGGTTGCTGAAAAGTTACTTGAAATAAAATGTGAAGTAGTATTTCCCTGTATATTTTGCTGTAACTGGGATAACTGATATTCATTGCTTTGATCACATGGAACGAATTTAATGCTGCTTTCATAGAACTGGTATTTTATGGCACCTACACATACACAAAGTAAGGATCGTTCATATGTATAACAAAGAACCCTGGCAAGTGGACAAAAAGTTCCTTTTATTCAGGCCCGGCTCCTCTTTGTGTAAAATCCTGACTCCATTAAATCAATGGCAAAACACACAAAGATATGTGAAACTTAGCTTATTCCAATGTTGCTTTATTAGGAACTGATCAGCAATCACTACTGATGTTTTCCCTTCATTTCCCTAACAGTTTTCAACAGAAAGCAAAACAGATTTTGTTTTAATTTCTCAGCTATTGTCTTCTGAGTGTGTAAACAAAAACAGATTGTGAGAATCATTAACGTGCACCTTTTAACATGCAAAGAACCCTGGAAGTGGACAAAAAGTTCCTTTTATTCAGGCCCGGCTCCTCTTTGTGTAAAATCCTGACTCCATTAAATCAATGGCAAAACACACAAAGATATGTGAAACTTAGCTTATTCCAATGTTGCTTTATTAGGAACTGATCAGCAATCACTACTGATGTTTTCCCTTCATTTCCCTAACAGTTTTCAACAGAAAGCAAAACAGATTTTGTTTTAATTTCTCAGCTATTGTCTTCTGAGTGTGTAAACAAAAACAGATTGTGAGAATCATTAACGTGCACCTTTTAACATGCAACAGTAAGAGTCAGATGAAACTCATAATGCTGCTATTTATACCTAGCTAAATAGTTCATTGTTGCTGCCAGTGAAGAATTAATTTGATTAATTACATGAGAAGCTGATTCATTCATCTGAGACCTGTCCGGAAATATTACAAGATACAAGTACCACGTCTGATAGCACTTAATGTTTTCCAGATACAATTTTAATTTATATGTTTGTGGAAGCAAAAAATCACTCTTACATGGATATACTTCTCCTTTCATGCCCTCTTCACCTACTAATATTTGCCTTCTATAACAGGTGGATAGGTTTGGAAATATTCTAGTCTGTTTTTAAACTCTTTCTTGTCTAAATAACTGAAGTGTGCTGGCAGCTGTCCTAGTTTTCCCTCACAGTAGTTAACTCTCTTTTACTTTGCTGATTTCCTATTTTAATTCTAACTTAAAATTCCTAAGTCGTATTTCAAACTGTCAGAATAATCTTTTATTGCTAAAATAAGTGACTGGACATTAGGAACTCCTAGTTCTAAGTCTGCTGCTTATTATTTACCTTGAACAAAATCTCTTGTGTTTGCTACTTTGTCGTAGCCCCATTAAGAAATCTTGGTCTTAGTGAGGAGGGAGGGAAATACCATTTTTAGCAATTTCACAATATGTATGTATGGAGATTTCTTATGATGATAAATCTGATAATAAGCTTTCTTTTTTAATATATACTAATATAAATAATTAATATTAATAATATTAATATATAACAATATATAAGTGCCAACAACCATTTGTTCACTTAGCTAGATTTTCACCCCTCTGCACGTTAACTAAGTAATACTTATTCTGTCAAGTATCGTCACTTATCAAAGAGGATTGCCTGGTATTCAAAAGGCAGTAGGATGATGATTCCCAGTGATTCTCATTTTTTCTGTTGAGAATACTGAAATAAAGGTTAATGGCTTTGTCAGTACTACCTCGGTATGTGACAGGATTGGCTCCATCCATGTTTGGTACATAAATTTAGCTGTTTATGATTGAGGATCCCCACTAACGTAGTGCTGAATCATAGCATGGCCAGGAAGTAAAACAAAAATATAAGGGGGATAGTATAATAATCCTGTGCTGTTTGGCTATTGGAACAGCCTTTAGGTTGTTTATTTTTAGGCAGGAAGAGGTTTCACCCTTAATCCGAATGGAAACCTCCTGTTGATGCTGTTGGGATGTCAGCTTCTGAGACAAGGGCAGTCCAGTCCTCAGTACAGGAAGACACTAAGTACCTGTGTGTCACCCGCTACTCGGGAACTCCCAGAACTGAAACTAGCATTAACTGCTGTTTATCATAGACAAGTGATCTTTTATACCTTGTTAAGAAGACTCCTTGCTGTACAGCTTTGTATTAAAATCCTTTCACTAAGGATTTAATTCCTTTTCTATGTTACATTGCATAATTTCAAGCATCTGAGTTAGACACGGTCATCCACAGATACTCATTACAACCTAGTCCATTGGCTAACTTACAAAACCTGGCATACTATTGCCATAAAGTATCAAATATCATAGGGGTTCGTGGATAACACAGTGCTTGCTAAGTGTGGCATCAGTACAGCAGGCCAGATTCCCTGCCTATACAAGTTGCCACGGCTTCAGAAAAGTAATTTTCTATTTTCAGTGAACCTGTGTATCTATTACATCTGACCTAGACCACGGTTTCTTTCGTAGCTTTCTGACAGGAAATACTTCTGACTTGTAACAAAGTACAGGATTTCTCTATTCCAGACAAAACTGTTTTTGTGGTATGACCAGATGATCCTCAGCAGTTTTACCCAGGGAAAGAATTTTTCTCAGTGATTCCAAATTCACTTTGATCATTTAGTAGTAATAAAGTCTTGATAACTCTGAAGCTCTGATATATCTTTGTTTCTCCATTAATGAAGTGTATTAAGGAGGTTTAAATTTATAAAGACTTTTTAGTGAATTTAAAATCAATATTGGATGCGAGTTCTGTTTTTTCTCTTTGTTGTATTTGTACAACATTAGTTATGTGAGCTAGTTGTTAAATCACTCTGATTTCTCAGGAAAAAAAGTAAGCATACGATGCATATAAAATGGGAGGACGGATGTTAGCGTTGATGGGGAAAAAAGTAAAAATCCTAAAGTCTATCTGATTGCATAAGAAGTATAATTACCAGTGGCCTCACCAGTGCTGACTTGGGGGGAAACAATCACCTCCCTTGACTTACTGGCCACACTGTGTATGTAGCCCAGTATATGCTTGGCCTTCACTGCTGCATGGGAGTTTGCATTTGCCTCTGTTGAACTCCATGATTTTTCCACTGGCTCATTCCTCTCGTTTGCTGGGATCCCTGTGAATGGCAGCTCAGCCCTCCAGCATATCAACCATCCCCCCAGTTTGTATCATCCAAAAACCCAGCAAGTGTGCGTTCCAGCTCATTGTCCAGGTCAATGATAAAAGTGTTAAATGGCACTGGCCCTAGTATTAATGCTGGAGGAATGCCACTAGTAACCAGCTTCCAGTTAGACCTTTGTGGTGGGTTGACCCTGGTTGGATGCCAGGTGCCCACCAAAAGCCGCTCTATCACTCCCCTCCTCAGCTGGACAGGGGAGAGAAAATATAATGAAAGGCTCATGGGTCGAGATAAGGACAGGGAGATCACTTGGCAATTACTGTCACGAGCAAAACAGACTTGACTTGGGGAAAATTAATTTAATTTATTACCAATCAAAATCAGAGTAGGATAATGAGAAATAAAAACTAAATCTTAAAACACCTTCCCTCCACCCCTCCCTTCTTCCCGGGCTCAACTTCACTCCTGTGATAGATTTTCTCTATCTCCTCCCACCTCAGCAGCACAGGGGGATAGGGAATGGGGGTTGTGGTCAGTTCATCACACATTGTCTCT